TTATTTTCGGCTAAATCGCTAATCGAATGTTCGTAGCTCCCGAAATTTGAACATTGACCTTATTTCTTAAACAATCCAAAGTATTATTCTGTGAATTTATTTTCGGCTTCAATATGAACTTTCACTTTGTTACTGATTCAAAATATTGTTTTCATTTCGCCACTCACATTTCCAGTCATGCTTGAAATTTAATCAATTCAAGTGAGTTATCTCGAATCACCGAGCATACCATTCGGAACTACGAAAAACTTATTTTCATTAACTTTCCCAGAAGAATTTTATGAACTACTTGCCAATATTGAATATAAAACGGATACAAACCAAGTTTTATTTCATATTCTCATGAAGTTGTTTCCGACACGAAAACTTTTTATTAAATCTGAAACTTCGTCGCCAACAAAATACTTTTTCTGTACAACTTTACAATTTGATATTCTCGTTTCGGTTCAGGAGAAAACAACTGGGGGAACATGTCGAGAAGGAGTTTCTGAATACAACTTTCTCGCGGAGTTTCTGTGCTCATGAACTTTATGTCATAGATGTTCATGTGCTGCGAAACGCAGATAAAACAGTCTTCATTGATTTTCGACTTAATAACCTAATGGAATTCCACATCGGCTGAAAATGTATTTAATTAACGATATGGAAGAATATTTTATGGTAACATTCGGCGCCTCGAGGATTGTGTTTCACCAATTATTTCATTACTCCAACAGTGAAAAAGGTAGGTATGTGAATGATGGAATTCCGTAATGACGCACCCAATTGGGCCAATATACAATGTGTTTCGTGAATACGGTACAAAAGAAACTTCAGAGGTTGATTTACGAGGTTGTTACATTTTGATATCGCGTTTTTTATACCTAGTGGCGTTCTCGAAAAAAAAATTGAAGTCACTCACTCTATTGCATATAATGAATATGGAAAATAATTGATTTTTCATTAATTTCCATAAAACAGGTCGCCCATTCATCTCAACTTCAGTTTGTACTCTTTCACACCTTCTATTTCGAGCTATTGATTGAATTTGACTAAGGCAACTAATATTCTGATTGATTGGGCCGTTACTTGATGAAGATTCATAGTAATTTCATAAACTACACCTCACGATTTCAATAGATAATTTCAATAAAGTACTCAATATCATCAAACAAATTGCAGTAAACAATGGGTTAAAAGCCCAATTAATAACCAAAATACTGTCCAAAAAAGTCTACGTAAAAGCGATTCGAGACGCTTTTCCTATTGAATCCAAATTATAGAGCTTTAACGTGGCTCGATTTTTGAGGAAACGAGATATTAAAATTGCATATAGAACAAGTAATACGTTGAGAAAATTAGTTAAAAATAATAAAGATAAAACATCTACATTCGAAAAATCAGGAGTATATAAATTGATGTGTAGCACGTATCCTAAGGTATATATTGGTCAAACTGGCAGAACATTTAGGAATCGAATCCAGGAACATCATATGAGCTATGTAAATAAGAAAACAAGTTCAACATATTCAAATCATCTCCTAGAAGAAAATCATATCTTCAACGAAGAGTTGGAAATTTTACACATAGAAAATAATGGTTTGAAACTGAATCATTTGGAAGCAATGGAAATTT